CTGCTCCTCTGATGCTGCTTGGCCTGCTGTGTTCATCCAGCTCTACACCTTGTTATCTCATAACATGACATCACAGGATGAACAGTTAACAGAATTTAATGCTTTTGACAAAGTTAATATCGCAATACAGCAATATAGAGTTTTAAAAGACTGACAGTCAAAGATATTATACAGTCAGCATTAATGTCAACAAGAATACAAGCTTAAAGTACAGGAGATTACAATTATAAAAATGTAAAATTTTCAAACATCATACTAATATAAGAATTACTAAACACATTCAGAAGAAATTGAAGGGGAAACAACAGTGTTTGCCCATATAGAACACAAGGTTGCACATAATATTGAAGTACTGCAGACGTTGGAAGTCTGAAATAAAAACAGAAAATGTTGGAACTTAGCAGACTTAGTAGTACAGGTGGTAAAAGAAATAGCTTATATTTCAAACGCAATGGAGCTCTATTTCATAAATGAATGGGGCTGGAAAGAACCACAGGCACTGCAGAGTATAAATAACAACTAATCTTTGCATTTGTAAATAAAATAGGGCGGACTAAATTATTTCCTCCAACTCTTGCTTCTAATTAACCCACAGCCACTTGGAACTGGAGCAACGCCGCTGGCTTTCTGCTTGCTCGGCCGATGGCGGTGAAGCAGCGCCCTCTCCGGCTGGAGGACGGCATCGCCCGCGCGCGCGGGTCACGTGGCACGCAGCCGCGGCGAATCGGCCGATGACGATTAAATCGTGATGAAGAGCTGATTTTCCTCCAGTATCGGGCAGGAGGTAAATGGCGGGTATTTAAGCGGAGTCCGGGGTGGGGTGGAGAAAAGGTTGCTTATTTTCCGGAGATTCCGAGGCGCGAATCTGCGGCGTCCGGAAACGGGGGGGGGTAGGCCGCAGGCATCTACCGGGGGGGGCGCGCGCAGCCTGGAGACGACGGCCACGTCGGAGCCAAAAGCGAAATGGGTCAGTGAGAGATTTATTTAAATTATTTAAAATATACAGGGATGGATATAAATATACAGTGAATAGAGAGAGAGAGAGGGAAATGTGTCAGTGAGAAACTTGTATAAATTGTTCTCCATCTACAGTATGTATTGGGTAGTGGTAGGGGGTGGTTGTTCAGGCTGGAGGCCTGTGAGCAGTGCCCTGTCACAAGGTTTGGTGCTGGGTCTACTGTTGTTCCAAATCTTTACATAAATAAATCGGATGAGTAGGTAGGAAGCGTGGTTAGTATGTTCATGGAAGACACCAAAGTTGGTAACATAGACAACAAGTTGCAGGGCTGGATGAACACAGCAGGCCAAGCAGCATCACAGGAGCAGAGAGGCTGATGTTTCGGGCCTAGACCCTTCATCAGAAAAGGGGGAGGGGAAGGGGGTTCTGAAATAAATAGGGAGAGAGTGGGATGCGGATAGAAGAAGGATAGAGGAGAGGATAGGTGGAGAGGAAACAAACAGGTCAAAGAGGCGGGGATGGAGCCAGGAAAGGTGAGTGTAGGAAGGGGATAGGTCAGTCCAGGGAGGATGGACAGGTCAAGGGGGTGGGATGAGGTTGGTCGGTAGGAGATGGAGGTGCGGTTTGAGGTGGGAGGAGGGGATAGGTGGGAGGAAGAACAGGTTAGGGAGGCAGGGACGAGCTGGACTGGTTTTGGGATGCGGTGGGGGGAGGGGAGATTTTGAAACTTGTGAAATCCATAGAGTTGTGCAGCAAGGGGACAGACCCATTGGTCCAACTTGTCCATTAATCTAGACCCATTTGCTAAATGCTGCCTCCTTCATCCTGTCTGCCTGCCTGTGACTCCACCTTCAAGGAACTATGCACTCCCAAGGTCTCTGTTTGGCACTACTCCTCGGGACCTCACCGTTAAATGTATAAGCATCAGTGTTTAAGAAGCACCTGGATGCATACATGAATAGGGGGATATGGATCCTGTAAGTGAAGACGGCTCTAGTATGGAAGAGTAAAATGTGTTGGTGTAGGCTTGGTGGGCTGAAGGGCCTGTTCCTGTGCCGTATTGTTCTTTGTTCTAAATCCTGTCCTGATTTGCCTTACCAAAATGCAACACCTTTTATTTATCTAATTTAAACTCCATCTGCTGCTCATCAGCCCATCTGATCAAGGACTTGTCATACTCTGATATAACCACTTTTGCTGCCCACTACACCACTAATGTTGGTGTCATATGCAAACTTACTAATGATGTCTCCTGTGTTCACCTTGAAATCATTTGTATAAATGACAAAAAGCAGTGGACCCAGCACCAATTCTTGTGGCATACTGCTGGTCACAGGCCTCCAGTCTGAAAAACACCCCTCTACCACCATCCTCTGCCTCTTACCTTACAGCCAATTTTGTATCCAGTTTGAAAAACCAAAAGAACTGTGGATGTTGTATATCAGGAACAAAAACCGAAGTTGCTGGAAAAGCTCAGCAGGTCTGGCAGCATCTGAAGAAAAAAATCAGTTAACGTTTTGAGGAAGGACACCAGACCTGAAACATTAACTCAGATTTTCTCTTCACAAATGTGGCATAACCTGAGCTTTTCCAGCAACTTCTGGTTTTGTTCTTGTATCCAGTTTACACTGTTAATGGTAGGGCCCTGGGGAGTGCTATGGAATAGAGACACCTGGGGTGCAGATACAGTTTCTTGAAAAATCATGTTGCAAGTTGACAGGGTGATGAAGGTGTTTGGTATGCCTGTTTTTATTGATCAAAACTTTGAGTACAGGAGTTGGGATGCCATGTTCAAGATGTTAAGGGCACATTTGGAGTACTGCATGCAGTTCTGGTCACCCTGCCATAGAAAGGATACTATTAAACTGGAAAGGGTGCAAAAAATATTCTTACAAGGCTGTTACTGAGATTGCAAGGTTTGATTTTCATAGGGAAGGGCTGGATAGGCTGGGACTTGCCTCCCTGGAGCTTTGGAGCCTGAGGGGTGACCTGATGGAAGCTTATAAAATCATGAGGGTCATAGATGAAGTGAAGTGCCAGGTCTTCTTCCCTGCACAGGGGAGTCCAAGACGAGAACACATAGATTTCAGGTGAGAGGGGAAAGATTTAAAAGGGACCTGAGGGGTAGGTCTTTCTGTCTTTCTGTCTTTCTGTCTTTCTGTCTTTCTGTCTTTC